AGAGCTCACTATTAAAACAGAGTAAAGACACACTTGGTTAACATAATTCCTTAGTTCCTTTATAAGAAGCAGTCAATATTTTTGTTTTATTTATCTTCTTTCTTATCCTTTTATTCATTTATTTTTATTTAAAGAACGATCTTTTTTATTATCAAGGTGAGCGTAGCCAAAATTCTGAATTGAGGTATGTATATAAATATCCATATTTTTATTCCTTTGACAGAAGTGAGTAATGCCAATGGAGAAAAGATGATTAGGAAGACAATAAATGAGAATATGAAAATAATGAAAACCATGCTGCAATGAGCATAGGTTTGCTGGTAGATTTACTGTAGCCTTGTTTGTATTCTATTGTATAAATGTCCAAGAGCAACATTGCTTGGTCATAGGATAGTTTAATTGTGGGAATGTAAGTTACTTCAACCACTCCATGGAGTATTTAAACACCATCTTGTTGCTAAGGCCTTACAGAATTTTCTGTATTAAAATTTATATTTTATATCTTATGGACCTAAAATGTTATACCTCTCCATAGAAGGCATGCATATTGCTCGATTTTAGTTACTATCAGAAGATTCTGACTTTCTAGTAATGCCTATTATTTTCTTTTTATAGGCTCTGGTTTATCCTATTATATGATTTATTAAAACACCTCATTTGATAAAAGCATATGAACCTCTTTTGCTATGATGCATAAGGAAAAAGAGTGCATTAAACAACTTGCTTCCAAATTAAAAGTACCAACAACAGACTCTCATCGTCTGCATCTTTGAAGAATATCTTCTCTCATTCATTTTTCTTAATAAAAAGTAGAGTACTCACAGAAATTAGATTGCCTGCCAAGATCACACTGCTATACATTTGTCAGCCTGATACAATATTGGTCTTTCAGATTCTGAATCAAATGTTGTCTCTAGTGTCTGTGCAGTCTTCCCTAGCTGAGCATCTGCTGCAGAAGGTCAGCAGTAATGGTGTGATAAGTGAGTGAAGATGTCACTAGAGTATGCCCTGACAAAGGAAGGTCATCCAGGAGCACATTCTTTGGCAGAGTTTTGCTATCCTTCCAATGTTATGTTGCAGCTTCTATTGTTATCATCATCATCATCATCATCATCATCATCATCATCTTTAAGCAGTTGTACAAAGGAGTTGCCATTTATAAAAGCAGTTAATGAATACAATATATATCTTGATCAAGGTCACACCTTTCAACCTTAGCACCTGTCCCTCTTAAGCCCTCCTTCCCTCATTCTTCTTAGTTTTTTTTTTTTTTTTGGTCGGTCGTGGGGCTTGAACTCTGGGCCTGGGCGCTGTCCTTCAGCTCTTCAGCTCAAGGCGAGCGCTCTACCACTTGAGCTACAGCGCCACTTCCTCTTCTTAGTTTTGTAGGTTATATATTGGATCTTGTCTTCATTTTCCCTCTCTATTGCTCTTTATTTGTCTATCCCTTCCCCCTTGACCTTACCGAACCCCTTTCAAGTACCAACTTGCCCATGTACTGAACTTTGATTTTGGCTTTTTAAAGAATTACACTATTTGAGCTCTCCCTTGAATTTACCATATTTCAGTTGATATATTTGTATACATTTGTATTCCACCCAATTTACTGAGAATCCACTTCACCCAAGTTAAAAAGGCCATTATCAAAAGATATCATCATCAACAACAACAACAGAGGCTGGCAAAGATGTGACCGAAAGGGAACCTAATATATTGTTGATGGGAAAGTAAACTTGTTGAACCACTCTGGAAAGAAGTATGGAGGCTCCAGAAAAAGTTAAATGTAGCACTACCCTATGATCCTGAAGTTCTACTCTTGGATACTTACCCAAAATATTACAAACCAGAATATAGTAAAGACACCAGCACAATCATGTTTATTGCAGCAGTAATAACCATTGACAAGGTATGGAATCAGCCCTGATGTTCTTCAAAGTATGAATGGATTAAAAATGTGCTATATATATTGCATTATGTAATACTACATATTGTAAATGTATAGTATATATTTATGTATACATATATATAATGAAATTTTCTCATCCGTTAGGAAGAATGATATTATATGGTTTGCAAAATAAATGAAAGCACTTGGAAAAAGTTATGTTAAGTGAAGTAAGTCAGCCAGCACAGAGAGACAAGAATCCATATTTTCCCTTGAATGTGTAAGCCACCATGGATTTGTCTAAGAAAAATAATGGCTGGGATTAAGAATCCAAAAGAAACAACATATAGGTTGGAACAGTGAAATTAAAAGTCACTCTTAAGATTGGAATTACAGTTAGATAAAAGGAGCAAATGTGAGTGTCGTAAAGTATAGTAAAGTGACTATAGCTTATAAGAGGCCACTATGTGCTTCATGGAGAACAAAGAGGAGTTTAAATGGCTCCTACACAAAGGAATACCAACTATATAAACAAATGGAGATGCCAAAGAGCCTGATTTGGTATGGCCCAATGAATCCATATAATAGATTATGGAAATCTTTAACCTAACTATGATCAATTAATTATGTGTCATTTAAAAAAAATGAAAGATTTTTGAATTCCTTTAAGTAGAATGGCTTGAGACAAAGGAGAATTATATTCTTCTAGTAGTCATGTATTATATTTAAGGTAATGAGTACGCTGAAAAAAGAGAGAGGTTTAATTACTTATGGGAAATATCTGGACTTATTTCCCAGAATAATCATGTGACTCTCTATAGCTAATTATCTAGCTACAATTAAGACAGGAAGACATAGCAGTCCCTTTTAGGGGAGGCAGTGGGCTTTTAAGAAAAATAATGATTTTTATTACATTTTGGAATGCTTCCTAAAAATCAACTTGTAGTTACTTACTAAGTTGTCTTTCTCATCTACATTAAATTAGTTATCTACACACAGATATTTGCATTTGTCCTGTAAATAGTGGTCTTTTGAACAGATCTGAAGAAATGAAAAAATATTCTTGTCCAACAATTCTTGTGATTTTTTTTGGGGGGGGGTCCAATCATGGGCCTGAACTCTGGGCCTGGGTGCTGTCCCTCAGCTCTTCAGCTCAAGGCTAACGCTCTACCACTTGAGCCACAGCGCCACTTCCCCTGTCCAACAATTCTAATTCTGCTTGCTATGTGCTGGGGGATAGGGGGTAATGCCATAACTTTGAATGGAAAATACTACTTTTGACTACAAAGGGTTAAGAGCTCAGTCTCTTCAGGCAAGAAGAATATGGTTTCAAGTCATGATTCAAGCTCATAGGAGAGCAAGAATGACTTAAACACTGAGAGATTATTTGGAATATCTGATACTCATTTATTTAATCAGTATTTGCCTTTAGTTATTATACATTAATTATATAAAGGATTTTGTTATGACATTGCCATACATGTGTTTTGACTAAACTCACCCCTTGAATTGCTCTGTTTTGTCCCGATTCCCCATGTAGACAAATTTTAGTGGGTCATATTATTCTGTTTTTGTACATGTATACAACGTGCAACAATCATACTTGTCCATCCTACACCCATTCTTTTTGCCTGTCTACTGATTCTCCTCCCCCAAACATTTGCTGTTTGTACTCATGATTTTTTTCCTAAAAACATTTAAATTCAACATATGAGATAGAATGCAATGTTTTTCTTTTTCACTCTGGCTTATTTAACTTACCATGCTGACCTCCATTTCTGATTATTTTCCTTCATGATTGCATTTATCTTTACAGCCTAATATTACTCCATTGTTTTATATATATATATATATATATATATATATGGTTCATATAAATATAAATATATATTTATATATATAAAACATATATATATATATATAAAACATTTCCTTTTTTCCCCCAGTTGTGAGCCTTGAACTCAGGCCTGGGTTCTGTTTCTGAACTCTTTTGCTTAGGGCTTAGCACACAACCACTCTGAGTCACAGCACCACTCTTCATGCAGTATTTTCTTCATCTATTTATCAACTAACATACTAGACTCCTATTTGTTGGGAGGATCCAATAAATCCACACAAAATATATAACCAATAAACAAAATACCGAGCCTGGCAATAAGACTTCAGTAGTAAATAACTCTTCCTAGAAATTCCTGTTATCTCTAATGTTGTCCCAGAGAACCTATTTTTAGTTTGTATAATTCTTCAGTGATTTACTATTTTCCTTGCTAATTTCCATCCCACAACCCACCTTTCCCTAGCTATAGCAACACTACTGACAAATATCCATATGAAAGTTTATAGAGGCACTGCACCACTTACAGTTTTCTGAGTGGTTTATTGGAGATAAGAATCTCACAGACTTTCCTGCCTGGGCTGGCTTTGAACCACTATTCTCAGATCTTAGCTTTCTGAGTAGCTAGGATTATAGGCAGGAGCTCCAGCTCCCAGATTTGGTTTGAACTTTTGATGATATAAGTATTTAATCAACTTGATTAAACAATTAGCAATCAATTAGTTAACTGATAGACTTTGTTCTTTCTCTTCAAAATGGTGTGGGTTATATGGCATATTTTGCATTAAGCTTATCCTTAGCTTTTAAAGAATTTTAGGGAAAAGGATGATTATATATTAATATATAGATAGATGTATATAAATTAAACTGTTACCACATACAATTTGCATTACACTGTCACAAATTAGTTACAAGTTTCAAATGTCTAGGAAATGGCTTGTACTGTCATTCCTTACTGATTATTGGGAAGTTATTTTTACCATGAGAATATTGCAAAAGTTTTAGGATGTAGGACTTTGTTTCTACCATTTTTACAAGTGGATAAAATTACAGTCAAAGCTTAGGATAAAACTAAATAAGTGCAGATGTAAGTTTGTTTGGCAAAGTTCACGATAAGATATGGTGATTACTAATATGAATATGATGTTGTAAATTTACTTCACAATATCACACCTCAACAAGGGTTCTAGAGCTGCTATCATTTTGTTCTGAATCTCAGACACACATCACTCAGGTACTCAGTCAGGTGGGAGTATCTGAGCCTCGATCCTCCAAACTTGCCTTCATTGTGTTTGCCATTGGCAGCCCACACAGTCTTCTCAAGCCCATGAGGAGATGAGTACAACTTTTGCAGGTCTGTGAGAAAGAACAAAAGAACAAAATAAAAATTGCTCAGTAGACCGGAACATGAGGAGAAAATTACTGTGGGAAATAAAAGAGCTTTTCATGTTGACTTATATCTGCTGCTATAGGTCACATTTGTTCTGGAAAAGTGTGTAGGAAGACACAATGCTCAGCAAATTTCATTAGAAGCTTAGCCGGTGGGTAGATCTTTTTGCTGTTATGCAAGCTGGTTTACTTGTAATATTTAAACAGCTTAGGATGGCCCAATTTTCCAACCGCATTCTCCAAATATAAGTAACACACTTTTTTTTTTTGGTCGGTCATTAGGCTTAAACTCTGGGCTTGGGCTCTATCCCTGCACCCTTCAGCTCAAGGTGAGCACTCTACCGCTTGAGTCACAGCACTACTTCTGGCTTTCTGGTGGTTAATTGGAGATAAGAGTCTCACAGACTTTTCTGCCCAGCTGGCTTTGAACCGTGATCCTCAGATCTCAGCCTCCTGAGTAGCTAGGATTACAGGTGTCAGCCGCTGGTGCCCGTCAAATAACACACTTTTATAATATCTGCCCACCCAGTCTTAAAAGCTCTACCCTTCTTCTGGCTACCTTCCTTCTCTGTAGCCATACTAAATCATCATAATTTCCTAAACATAACCTGTACTATCCTATCTATGAAAATTTTGCTTATTCTATTTGTTGTTTATGCAATAGATCCGTCAAAAAAGTACAGTACTTAAAGCTAATCTCTTTTTATTGATAATCAAGGCATTTATGCATTTATTTAGTTGCAACACAGATGGCTGAACATGGTGGTACATGTCTGTAATGATAGCTATTTGAGGGGCAGAGATTGAAAGGAAAGTGGTTTAAAAACAGCCTACGCAGAAAGTTAGGGAAATCTCCTCACTCAATAAGTTGGATGTTTTGGTATACTGTTGTGGTCCCAGTAACTGGGGAAGCAAAGGAAGAAGGAATAGACTCTAAGACCTGCCATGGGCAAAATAAAATATTTTCCATAATGTGCCAAGTCCTCCTCTATTAAAAAATTTCTTGCTTCTAAGATTGGTCTCTTTAACTTTTCCTACACTGGAGTTAAATGAATGATTTTCCTTTCTCTGCCTCCATTGTGTTTCTAGGCATGAGCTAACATGGCCTGCTAAACATGGGAGTTGAAATTTCATACATAGGAAGGATTTGAATATAGTAAAGGAATTATAACATTGCTTCAGGTCTTAAACACAATGGTTCAAAGTACAAAGTAGTTGACAAAATCTTTGTGAGAGAAAGGATAGGTAGATGGAGCTTATAACACCTTTAGAGAATTCTAGATAAACATTCTTAAAGGACAGTCAAGGCCATGTGTAGTTAAATCCGATTATAAGAAGTGCAGCAAAACTGAATTACATGGTCGGTTCCTCTGTGTCATTAATTTCATGTGCAGGGCATTGGAAAAGGGTTGTAATTATTGATAGTCTTAGAAAGATTTATCTGACCATTATGTTCAGCAAGTTATAGGAAATTCATTGTATAGCATTCCATAGATCATCCAGGAATCCTTAAAGATAGACTAAGTTCCAATAAAGTTTGTTTCTGTAGCAAATAAGAGTAAACAGCTCTATTATCAGAAACTCCATAATTCCTTACCTAATTAGTGAGCAGATAAAGGGGGGAGATTAACAAGGGAGGTCTTAATTCATTGCTGCATTTTAGGCTCAGGAAAAAAAAAAGGTATGTTTCTCATTGACCATGTTAGGGGAATAAGGGAAAAAAATCAGATGAGTAGGAGCTGTGATTATCCAGTTTCCAACTTACAAACTGTGGATTGACTTTGGGATAATTTAGCACAGGTGCTCAGGAGCCCAGGATGAGAGATACATGGGAATGTTTTACAAGGTTGAGAGTGGAATATACATAAATAGTAAGATCTTAAAAGGGAATAATAGGTAAATGCAATATAATGGTCAAGACCAATTCTTGGCTAATCCCCAATATGTGATTGGCAGAAGAAGGAAAAGAAACAAGAAATGAAGCTTCAATGGGCTGTTTTGGTGGGAACAACTATTTCAGCTCTGTAATGGTGGCACTTTAGCTCCTGGCTACAGCTGGGGAACATGCAGACTGTCTAGGGACTAGAATTTCACAATGCTAGACCTTGTGTCAGGATGTATATCTGGCTGAACAATGTAAGTCCTGTGTGAAAAAATGATCACAGAAAATTTAAAAAAGAACTTTGAAGTAAGCTACCTAAAACTAGTTCATCTTGAGAAACACAGTGATTAGAAAGAAATATTTCATTAAAATGTGGCTCTCTAAATGTCTCTCCTGATGACTTGTTGTATATTATCAAAATTTTTGAGCTTGTGAAATGCTCTGCTTATTCTGAATGGCAAAATATTTGTTGTGTACCTCAGTGGCAAAGCCATGTTAATATGGTTAGAATTCTATGTTAACAAATCTAGATGCTAATTTTATTGGAGAAACTGCTTGTAATCTTGAAAGAGGAAAGCTAAAACTTTGAGATACTTTTACAATCACTCACTGACTCAATGAATAATGATCTTTAAACCAACCTGAATCATGCACTCGTCAATGCTGTTACATAAGTTAACAGAACAGATATTTTACTTGATTAGGACCAAAGTTTATGTGTAGAATTTATTTTTTGAATATATAATGAATCATTGCAGACTGAAAGTGACTCATGATTGACTAATTGGATAACCTTAGAAAATTTACTTAAAAAAGTCCATCTGAAAAATGAGGAGATTCATCAGAATGACCTAAAGATCTTTTATTCCATACATTAGTAATATTTTAATTAGTCTTGTATATTTTAATTAGGTATTTTGTTGTTTCTTATCTAAAATTTTATGCCTAAAATCTATACTTTTTAATATAAATATGAATGTGCATGGATACAAACATAAATAAAACGTTCAATAGAAGTATTAGATTTAAGTGAAAGTTTAAAGACAAAGACAGATATACTTTATGTGAGAAAATAAGCAACAAAGCTTTGTGAACTTAAGAATGTAAAAATTTTTTCTTGAAGGCAGGAAAGGTTGTAAGAAGTAGACAGAGAAGACAAACTAGTTATTCCGAGGCAGTCGTATTCTATGTGTTGAATGCAATAGAAATGTGAATGGCTTCACAGGTAAAAACTGTCTTGAAACATTCCTAGAGTAAGTCTCAAATATGGCTCTGTTCTTGTTTTGCTGAATGAGACAGTAATTCTGTATCAGCCAACTTTGTACCAAAAGGAGCTCCACATACTTCACTACATAGGTTACATCTATCATCATCAAAGTGCAAGCAGATAGCCACGAGGCTTCTCTCTTTTGGAGCCAAAAATAAGTGAATTCAAATTCAATTACGAACGTTTCTTTTAAATCTAGCCTTAACAACTGAATGAAAGACGAAATCACAATATAATTAGATTGCCATTTTTCCTTGAAATGTATAGTGAGATCACTCTAGAAAAGGTTGTGGAATATTATTAACAGCTAAGAAGTGGAAATTAAAATAAAATGCCATTTATCCATTTATCAAACTGACAACAGTTATTTATTTGATATTTATATTTAAATAATCTTTATTTTTTATTGTGCATTGATAATTCAACTGACTTCCTATAATTTCCTATATATGGTGATCATATTAATCACTCAACACTTTCTCTTTTCCATTTCCCCCAGTAATAATTTCCATTCTACATTCTTTTTAAAATTAATATGACATATGTGAGAAAACATGTGATATTTGACTTTTTGTGTCTGGCTTATTTTGCTTAATAATATGTTCTCCAATTCCATCCATTTTCCTTCAAGTGACATTACTTTTTTTGTTTTGTTTTATTATTTTTGGTTGGTCGTGGGCTTGAACTCTGGGCTTGGACACAGTCCTTGTGCTCTTCAGCTCAAGGCTAGCGCTCTACCGTTTGAGCCACAGAGCCACTTCTGGTTTTCTAGTGGTTTATTGGAGATAAGAGTTTCATGGACTTTCCTTCCCGGGCTGGCTTTGAACCACAATCCTCAGATCTCAGCCCCCTGAGTAGCTAGGATTACAGTCGTGAGCTACCAGTGCCTGGCTAACATTACTTTTTTTGAAATCATGTCTAAATAACACTCTACAATGAGTGTACACCATATTTCCTTTAACCATTAATCAACTGATATATAGGTTGACTGCATGAATAATGCCACAATAAATATGTGTGCACATATATTTACTATATGCTGACTTACATTCCTTCAGGTACATACCCTGGAATCTGATGGCAAGATCATAAGGTAGTTTTTTTTTTTTTGAGGAAGCTCTCTATCTCTATAGTGACTGCTGTAGTTTACATTCCCACTTACCATGTAAAAATGCTTCCCTTTTCCCCATTCCCTTTCCCACATTTGTTGCTGTTAGCCTGATGATAGTCATTCATAATTGAAGTGAGATGGAATCTCAGTATAGATTGGAGAGATTGGAGGAAGGAATCTCCTGCCCTGAAGGGAGCTCGATTTCCAACATTTTTACAAACACCAATGATAGCCAAGACTTATAATGTTAATAGAACAAAGAAACAGACATACCCAATCCAAAATATAAATTACTTTTAATTAGCAAAGAAAATAGTCCACTACTTGAATATCTTTTTGATACATTCACAAAAACAAAAAATGAGCATTGCCTGATGGACACTCTTTGTTTTCATACGATATGTGACATGGAAAACTTGGACACAAATACTTTGTACAAAACAATATGGCCCACTGTAACTCATATATTATCAAAACTAAAACTCAAATGGATAAATCCTATACTACTGAAGAAACATTTACACATTCCTGGTGCTAAGACTTTGTTTTGCATTATATCATCATAATTTTATAAACACATATGAATCTCAATACAAAAGGTGAATGTAAATAGTACAATTTTAAAGGTATTCTGCTTATTTTCCTTTTCATTGTACTGGAGGTTGAACTCAGGGTCTCATTCTTCCAAGACAGGCATTCTACCCCTT